AAGGCTTAAGCCTTTAGGGTTGCTGTCAGGGCCAGCTACCAGAGTATAAAAATTATTCTTTTAATACAAAATGCCCAAGCGGTCGACCCCAGAACTCGATGGGATTAAGATCGAATGGAGAAGAAGAATCGTAGAGCAAGACTGTTAGATGATATACGACAAAAAACACAACATTCGAAAAAAAAGGATGTTCTTCAGTGTTCTTCATAGAACTAGAAATTCTTGCATTTCTGAGCTTTTAAGACAATAGTAACTTCCAAAATCACACTTTAACCCAACCCTGAACAACAACCTTCTTTCACAAAGTGATAGCAGTGGTTGCAAAAGAGAACCCTCCGACTGAAAAGGCCAATATAGGGAAAATTCTGGGCATATTTTCTGGTAGAGTTAACAAGATAATAAGTAAAGATATCAAGATTACAAAGGCTCACAAGTCGGGTATTCACAAGCATCCAGAAATCAATGGATGTTTTAATGACGACAGAAACGGAAACAACAACTTTGTTTGACTACACACTTTTTCAATTAGTCCGATGTAGCACCAACGGATATTTATATCTTTGGTCAATCTTCGTGTAGAGTAAAGGGTCTGTGGAAAGTCTGTCAGAAGCTTTTTACAATGAACATGGCGGTAACTTTAGCATGTGCTCATTAGTAGGTATATATATATATATTAGTTCTGATCTATGTAGGTAGCTTTCATGATTAGGAGTTATTATTTAACAGCTATCAGATTGAGGATGATTGATGATGCGGGAAATAGTTTCAAGGACAGCACGAGACTCGGAAATATCATTTTTCTAAAGTGCACTAATTTCTCCGAAAGAGGCCGAAGGCCGTCTGGAGGAGTCACCTGTTTTAACCACTCGCGCCACTAAACATTAGTGTTGTGTGTCTGTCAGTCAGTAGACACTAAAATGACGTCGCATAAGGGATGCTTAACGTTGCAATTTTACTGTCGTGACGTCAGCAAAACGTGCGCATGCCATGAATGACGAGAAGAATTGTGCACTCTGTAGGCTACAACACAGCATGAATTTTGAACTTCAAAAACAAGAAATAAAAATATTTGTTATTCTTAATTTTGGTTTTATTTACTCTTGAAACAGAACACTTTCGGGGACCCTGCGCAAATTCATCTAGTTATCAGTGGTTGTTCTCCCTTAAACAAGACAAAACGCTTAGATGCACATTCTTAGTATGAGTACTGATTACGCTCTTTGTCTTAATTACTTGTGATACCTGAAGTGTTAATAATTACGTTGTGTGTTTCTTCAAGAGATTAAAGTGTATATTCAATGAAAATTTAATTAATATAAACTAGACCAAGCACGACAATAGCCACATTCTTCAACGTTCTGGGTTATAAAAAAATACTAACTTTATGTTTTTATTCACTTTCTGATATCAAAATGATAGAAACGACACACGGAATTGCTATAAGAATCCGAGAATAATATACTAGAGAAGTTGTTGAATTTTTAGTATATTTGCACTCTTGTACCGATATACGTGAGGATATCAGCTCTTTTACTATGTTTACAAATCCCATCAAAACTTTAAAAATGTATTATGATACGTTGCGTTTTCCCACTGATAATAAATATGGACGACGATGAAAACATACACTGAAACTATTATACGTTCTGGAAACAATCAATCGGGCTCAGTTCATTTTCACACGCATCGTTAAAAATGGTAAAATTGCAGCAAGTTACGGTTAAGTAATATCCAAAATAATAATATAACGTACGTTGTAATTTCACTGTTTTGGTTTAGATTTCACTGTTTTGGGTGTTATGATTTAGAATAACTTTTGAAAGTAAATTATTACGGTTGAAATGGCAATGTTAGATAATGGTGCTGACTTACAACGCTAGAAACCGAGTTTCGATACTAGTAGTGGGCAAAGCACAGATAGCCCATTGTGTAGCTTTGTGTTTAACTACAAACAAACATTAATTCGGTAAGATCGAGAACCCTAAATACTATATTTTTAAAAGTGTTGAATAAAGACTTGTTTTACGATCTGGACTCCTCAACGAGCATAAATCCCCCCCCCCCAAAAAAAAAACATGATGTTTTTATAACAACAGTTATGTTTAGCGAATCATTTGAAATTTTCGTCAGCTGACAAGAATCGTGATTTAGGCTTTATTTTATTCTATTCAGGACACTACTTTGGAGTATCAGGCAAGCGGTAGCACTGCCTGTGTAGCAATGGCTTGGTCCATTCATCAAAATGGTATTTTAAATATCTACTCAATAGGTCATCAGAACTTTACAACACTATGCAGTGTGTTCTTTTGTAACAATATCTACGTAATTACAGAGTCACAAATTCTGGGAATGTCTGTAAATATCATAGTAAAAAGTTTGAATTTCTTATTCTTCTTTCTTCTGCATCTTTTTTATTACATGATAACTCAAAACCCAAAACAATGATGTCAACCAAATTCACTGAGATGATATAGTTTCAAACAGAGTATCCACTTTTATAATATTATTAACTTGTAATAATTGAAAAAATTGCAATTCTAGTGTAAATTATGTTATCATTACCCTTTGATGTTAGCTTTCTTACAGACATTGTTGTTCCTTCAAAAAACTTATGTACAGGGTGAAACAGGAATTACCAGCCAATAATAGATAAACAATAAATATTACAGTTGGAGCCTCATTGTATTTAGGAACTTGGTTATAAATACAACCTTCCTATGTCTATCTAAACACTGCATTAAAAAAAAGCAAACAAGTAAAATAAAAACTTTTCAAAAAAGGAATTAAAGGAAGGGATGGCTAATATCAATCCTTGAAAAACAATGCCAACAAGATAGCAGGGATGCCAATCTTGTT